GCTAGTGGGGAGTCGTTTTAAAGCTATATTTCGTCCCCCACAGCCCCAAAACATAAAAACATGCTCTAGAAAGGGGAACTCTCAAAAACCTAACTCCTTAAGGGTCCTTCTACCACCCAAGGTAAGTTTTAATGATGATTCTAAGTTAATTTCAATTTCCTAATATCTTATTAACATGGGTAAACCTTCCATATCATTAGATATTCGATTTGGTCATCATTGTTAAGAGAAGGAAGCCTAGAACTCGAAATTCAAGGGTTTGAACTTCGAAAAGGTAATGTCTTCACCCTCTAATTGATTCTAGCATTGGTTTAATGATTATAAACCCTAGTTCATGAGATATGAGTTGATGGGTTCGATAGAAAAACATGAACGATTATAGGTTTGGGGTGTTGAGTGTTGATTATTGGTTAAGGGTGTTGTCTAGCTTATGGGTGATAAAGAATAATATTGATTACAACCATTTGAGACTTTAGAATTTATCTAGGGGCAAGGAAATGGGTTGTTGGGTGTAGAGACACCATTAATAAGGACTATGAAGATTTATTTTCACCAAGTGTTTGATAAAATGCTTAAGTGACCAAAACATGAGCATTATAGCTAATATGGAATCCCTTTGACTTGTATTGCTATAGATTAATGTTGAAAGGGTTGACAAATGTTGTATTACGCTCAAGAGCCGGAAGTTAAGGTATGTAAGGCTAACTCTTTACGTTTGGGAATGTCTATGATTCTCCCTACGTCATATTCATTATGACCCTTACCAGTTTCCTCATAAAGTATCTCTGACCTAGTTCCCTAAATAGCAGTAGAACTTCTATTCTCTAGATGGCATAGTTTCATAATCATTAGATATTCTATGAGTCTCAGTTATGACTGATCAACTTATTATGAATATTCATCTCAGTCTAATCCTATTCACTATTACAGTATCATGTCACTTGGTATGGCTCATTATTTCAGTATCATTTATTACAGTATGATTCTCAGTTCCTGATTCTAAATTCCTGAATGTTGAACACCTATATTTGGGCCTGAGGCCGTAGTTTATGCTTTTTGCATTTTGGGCTTGAGGCCGTAGTTATGTATACGTATACCTTGGCCTGAGGCCGTAGCTTGTGCACATGTATATATATTGGGCCCGAGGCCGTAGCTTATCAGATAAACAGGTTGTTCATCATTCAGAAGAGGGAGTATTCATATCCTTACTTCCTTGTTCAGTTATCAATTTATCAGCTAGAAGTTCAGTTTCAGTTTCAGTATTTACAGCTCTTTTGTTCAGCTATTTTACATACCAGCGCAATTCAAATGTACTGAGGTCCCTTTTGCCTGGGGCCTGCATGTCGCGATGCAGGTAACGATTTTCAGGTTGACGATTCTGCTTGTTAGGACATCTCATATTAGCTGTTGGTGAGCCCCAGTCTTTCGGGGCCTTATCTCTCTTTTGTGTTAGTCATTATAGTATTTTTGGTTAATAAGGTATACCGGGGACCTTGTCCTGGTAAACAGTTGGCATTTTCAGTATTCCTTAGAGGCTTCGTAGGCTATAACCCAGTCAGTCAGATATTAGCAGGCTTTCATGTGTTAGCCTTGTCGGCTACTTGTTTATACTTGCAGACCTTTCAGTATTTTTCGCATCTATGATATTTCAGTCAGACTTTTTAGCAAATTATCATGTTTTACATTTACCTCTAGCTCATAGTTATACCACATGTTGATCCAGCAATACAGTTGGTTCGCTCGGTCACATGCAGTCAGGCACCGAGTGCCGTGTTACGCCCAGGCCATGGTTCGGGGCGTGACAATAGCCATAACCCAAGATGAAATCACATGACATACCGCATAACTCAAAGGCTCATAGCGATAATTTCTAATCACAGTAGCTGCTCAAAATAACCTAATACCAGTAATAAACCTCATATCAAATAAATCCTCGTTCTAGAACCTTCGTATACTGCCAACGATGAAAGAAACAAGCAGAAACTCATAACCATTTGCCAGATCAATAAGTTGTGGAACTCCTTCTCCTTCGATAGGGACTATAGCAAATTTCTATGCCGACCAGCATCGATATCCTTCCAAATATACCGCAATCAGATCCGATAGCACCCATTCTAGGTATGATGAAATCATCCCACCTAACATTATCACTCTAGTGACATGACACATCAATACAGCTTAAAGCCACAACCCGCGCAACAAATAGAAACATTCCAAATGTACTCAATCTTGAAAATGCCTCAAATAAGAGGACTGTAACGACCCGACCGGTCGTTTTGAGCTTTTGCACTTTGATCGCCAGTTCTCAGGCATGCCTTTCCCCGTATAATGTATTATAACTGATGTAGATCGTTGGTTTTGGGTTTCAGGAATATTGGAAGGAATTTGAAATAAGAGTCTCAGTTGAAAGCTTTGAATTTAAAATGTTGACCAACAGTTGACTTATTTGTATACGAGCTCGGATCGGAGATTTTATGATTTGGTTAGCTTCGCTGGATGACTTATGACTTAGGAGCGTGATCGGAATTGGTTTTGGAGGTCCGGTGTAGAAATTAGCTTGTTTTGGCGAAGTTAGTATTTTGGCGAATTCCGGTTGATAGGTGAGATTTTGATCCGAGGGTCGGAATGGAATTTCAAGAGCTGTTGTAGCTTCGTTATGTCATTTGTGATGTGTGTGCAAAATTTCAGGTCATTCGGACGCCGATTGGTTGGGTTTTTTATCAAATGCGTGTTTCGGAAGTTTTTGAAAAACTTAGGCTTGAATTCGATGTCAATTGATGGTTTTGGTGTTGTTTGAGGTGTTTTGGTGATTGGAACAAGTTTGAATGAGGTTTTAGGATGTGTTGGTGCTTTTGGTTGAGGTCCCGGGGGCCTCGGGTGAGTTTCGGGTGGTCAATCGGACCATTTTTGTGTTTGAGAGATTGCAGATTTTTAGTTCTGGTGTTGCAAGTATTTTTGCCTTCGCGTTCGCGAAGGGGAGCTCGCATTCACGAAGGGCTGAGTTATGTGAGCTACGCGTTCGCGAGGGTCCATGCCGCGTTCGCGAAGGGTTGTGAGAGGCAGCATCGCGTTCGCAAGTGTTTATACGCGATCGCGTAGGAGAGATTGGGTCTGATGGTCAGTTAGTCATCGCGTTCGTGATGGAAGTGGCGCGTTCGCGAATGTAGAGGAGGTGGAAGCATCGCGTTCGCGACGGGTGTATTGCGTTCGCGTAAGGTAAAAGTTGTTCAATGTAATTTTGTGCTACGCGTTCGCGAGAGTTGGACCACGTTCGCGAAGAAGAAAATCCTGTAGCTGGGCAGAATGTTTTAAAGTCATCTTGTTCGTGATTTTGGGTCTATTTTCACCCATGGCTGCCCGTTTTTGGAGATTTTTGGAGGAAATGAAAGAGGGATTCAAGAGGAATGGACTTGAGGTAAGAATCTTGGTCTCAATACTCGTTTTTGTTATGAAATCCACCTAGAAATTCATGGGAATTTAACTAAAAATGGAAGAAACTAGGGCTTGACTTTTGAGATTTCTAAATTGGAATCGGATTTGAGAGTTTTTGATATGTAAAGACTCGTGGCGAGATAAGGAATCCGTTGATGTGAAAATTTCTGAGTTTCGAGAAGTGGGTCCGGGGCTCGGGGTTTTGGTAATTTCGGGATTTGTGCCCGTTATTGATTGTTTTAGATTTGATTTTTTTCCCTTAGCATATTGTGATGTATTCGTTGTGGTTTTGGTTAGATTCGACGCGCGTGGAGGCCGATTTAAGGGGCAAAGGTTTCGCGAGCTTGAGATTACACCGGTTCGAGGTGAGTAATGATTGTAAATGATATCCTGAGGGTTTTAAACCCCGGATTGCACATCGTAGTGCTATATTTAGGTGAGACACGCGCTAGATGATGAGCGCGGGGTCTTTTACTACTGGGGATTGTGACTTGGTCCGTCCAGATTGATGATTTGATTGCATATTTGACTGAAACTGATTTGTTATCATCATGATTTGGGCTGATTGCCATATTTGGGCTTCGTGCCAATTATTTGAACCCTTCGGGGATTTTTATCACTATTTCCTTTCTGTTTTGACTCATATTGAAACTCAGCCCTGTTGATACTTATTGTTATACAAACTCAGCCACTTTTATATAGATTTGAAACTTAAATGATATTTCTAAATGATATTTTGGGCTGAGAACTACTGTTTTACAAATGCCCGAGGGGCTTGTGATGATTTTCGGACTGAGTGAGGCCGAGGGCCATATGTGAGGATATGCTGAGTGATATGAGGCCGAGGGCCTGAGATACTTTATATGCCACGCGGTGGCTTGAGTGACGTGAGGAGGCTTTCAGGCCTTGTGAGTGATGTGAGGAGGCTTTCAGGCCTTATGAGTGATGTAAAAAGGCTTTCTGGCATTATGTTGATATAGCGCTTGGGCCGTAAGGGGCCCCTACGGAGTTTGCACACCCACAGTGAGCGCGGGTACCTATATGATCTAAGAGTGAGCCCGAGGGGCTGATACTATGCTGAGTGACTGATACTGAGCCCGAGGGGCTGATACTATTCTGAGAGCGATCTGAGAGAGAGGGGGCCCGAGGGGCTGAGAGTGTTTTGAGAGTGTTCTGAGAGTGAGCCCGAGGGGCTGGTACTATTTTGAGATATTGCCCGAGGGGCGAACTTTTATTTTGCTCACTTGCATATTTACTTGCCTTTTTACCTGATATGCTGTGGTATTTGTGCCCGAGGGGAGGATCTTCTGTGCTCATCGGCATTAACTATTTTGAAATCATTTCGTAATTGTTGAAAAGATCATTTTCAAAAGAGATTTAAAATGAGCAAAGATATTTCTAAGGATTTCACAGCTTCACTGCTTTCTCAAAGGATTGTACACTGCTTCTATATAGCATGTTGGTTGCTTTACGTGATTTCTTACTGCTCAGCTGTTATTTACCTTTATTACTCACTGAGTTGGAGTACTCACTTTACTCCCTGCACCTTGTGTGCATGCATGTATTAGNACAACTCAAGGCTCATGAGAAGAATTATCCGACTCATGATCTTAAATTAGCAGCTGTGGTGTTTGCGCTTAAGATCTGGCGCCATTATTTGTATGGGGTACATGTTGACATTTTTACAGATCACAAGAGCCTCCAGTACATCTTCAAGCAAAGAGAATTAAATCTACGTCAGAGAAGGTGGCTCGAATTACTTAAAAATTATGATGTTGATATCCTTTATCATCTAGGAAAAGCAAATGTTGTAGCCGATGCTCTCAGTCGGCGTTCTATGGGCTGCTTAGCTCATGTTGAGGCTGACAAGCAAACTATGGTGAAGGAAGTCCACCGCTTAGCAAGTCTAGGAGTTCGACTTTTGGACTCCGAAGATGGTGGCGTTGTTCTCCAGAACAGGGCTGAATCCTCCTTAGTAGCTGAAGTGAAGGAAAAACAGTTCATTGATCCCTACTTATTGCAGCTGACGGAGGGAATTCACAAACACAAGACTATGGCTTTTGAACAAGGGGGAGATGATGGTACTTTGAGATACAAAGACAGACTATGTGTTCCAAACGTAGATGGGCTCAGAGAGAGGATTATGTCAGAAGCCCACAATTCTAGGTATTCTATTCACCCAGGTTCCACAAAGATGTATCACGATCTTAAGGAGGTTTATTGGTGGAACGATATGAAAAAGAATATAGCAGATTTCGTGGCTAAGTGTCCAAATTGCCAGCAGGTGAAAGTCGAACACCAGAGGCCTGGCGGTTTAACTCAGAATATAGAAATTCCCATT